GAGAAATGCCAGATATAGGTGAAGGGGAGGAAGGCAGCAAATCACACTGCCACATGTGTACCTATGCAACAATGTTGCATGTTCTTCACATATACCCCAAAACCTAAAATGCAATAAAATAAATAAATGGGGGGAAAAAAAAGAATAAAGAAAAAGAAAAGAAAAGAAAAAGAAAAAAAAGAATAAATAAATAAATAAAAGACCTGTCCAAAGTCACAGCAATAAAACGGCAGAGTCAACAGAATCCAGGTCAATCTAACCATAACTCTTAATCGCTATGGTACAACGATATATTTGTCTAAGGAACTTCAGCATCAGTTACTGTGCCCAGTATTAGTGCAAATTTTCTTATTAACATTAACTAATAAAAAATACTACAAGCTTGATCATTTACTAGCCAAATAAATTTGTTAGTTATATGCTTAATAATGATAAGATTTTAAGTGACTTTTAGTTACCAAATGACTTATTATTGAATGGCATGGTTAATTGCCAGTGAAGATCATTACTGCCCTCCAGGATAACAAGCTTCATAAAATCTCAACACCCATTACACTCAACCTCTACTACAGGAGAGAAGACAAGCAAATTTGTTATTTGTGCTAATATGTTCAACACAAAGCTAAAATGAAATACTTAAGAAATACAAAAATACATATGCATATTAAACTTCATGTAATCTATACCACACTTGAATGTTCTTTTCCAACTTGAGTCAGAAGACTATGTATGGTACTCAGAATGGATTCCAAATCTAAGCTGAAGACAGTGAAGTAAAACTCTTTGAACCAGTTTAGGTATTTTCATTCTATTTGTTTAGGCCTACATACCTTCATATTTTGGTGTACTAATTATCTTTCAGGAATCTCTGTCAGTGTATTAATATTAGACAAACCAGCCAGGAGCAGGGGCTCACGCCTGTAATCCCAGCACTTTGGAAGGCCGAGGCGGGCAGATTATGAGATCAAGAGATCAAGACCATCCTGGCCAACATGGTAAAACCCCATTTCTACTAAATATACAAAAATTAGCCTGGCCTGGTGGTGGGCACCTATAGTCCCAGCTACTTGGGAGGCTGAGGCTGGAGAATCACTTGAACCCGGGAGGCGGAGGCTGCAGTAAGCCAAGATCATACTACTTCACTCCAGCCTGGAAGGCAGGGGGAGTCCCTGTGTCACCAAAAAAAAAAAAAAAAATTGGTAAACCTCAGGAAGGTAGAAAAATTATATAACAAAAGACAGCAGGTATGGTACATCACACCTGTAATCCAAGCACTTTGGGAAGCCAAGGCAGAAGAGTCAATTGAGCCAAGCATTTCAGACCATCCTGGGCAACAAAGTGAGACCCCCAGCTCTACAAGAAATCAAAACCTTAGGTAGGCATGGTGGCGCACACCTGTGGTCCCAGCTACATACAGAAGGATCACTTGAGCCCAGGAGGTTGAGGCTACAGTGAGCCATGTTCATGCCACTACACTCCAACCTGGGTGACAGTGCAAGATCCTGTCTCAAAAAAAAAAAAGACACTTTATATATACCAGTTGAATCACAAAGAGCAAGAAAATTATGAATCATATAAAACACAGATATGGCAAGTTGAAAGACAGAAATGTCAAACTTGCTTCAGAAACTTTTGGGATTAACCCATAGTATCAAGTTAACTGCTACCAAACTAAGAATGGTGCTCTTATCACTGAGTACAAGAGTCTCAATGGTCTGGTCTTCACTCTTCAAGACCAAAAACATTTGTACTTTACCATCATTTAAAAATACCTCTTCGTATATAGCTTTACACTAGGTAAATGTTTTACAAAAAGAGATCAACTATCATTCCTCACTGGTCAATGTTCCAGAACTAGAATCATCCAGAGATTAAATTACAATCTTTATAAAAAGGTAGGGGCTCTGAATAAAGTATAGACTTTAGCTAGTTTACAAAAGGCAAGGGAACCAGAAGAGTATATAGAATATTTTTTAAAGCAGCCAATAACTTATGTATCCCTACTGCCCAATTCTAATCTGACTTTTCTAGTTAGTGAATCAGATAAGCAAATCTAATAAAATTTTGGACATTAGTTTCAACTCTAAGAATACTACAGAAAAAAATCAAACTCATGGAAGAATAAGCCCAAACATGTCACTCACCATCTCCTAAAATAATTCACATGGCTGCTTCCCACCCTCTGCAAACTCTACTTCCTACCTCCCTACTTCTACTCTAATCCCTGTGTACATACTACAAAAAAAAATTAGATTTATCCAAAGTTTACTTCATAATGGTGAATTCTAATTAAAAAAATACAGTGAGGTGGGTGGATCACGAGGTCAAGAGATCGAGACCATCCTGGTCAACATGGTGAAACCCCGTCTCTACTAAACATACAAAAAATCAGCTGGACACGGTGGCGCGTGCCTGTAATCCCAGCTACTCAGGAGGCTGAGGCAGGAGAATTGCCTGAACCCAGGAGGCGGAGGTTGCGGTGAGCCGAGATCGCGCCATTGCACTCCAGCCTGGGTAACAAGAGCAAAACTCCGTCTCAAAAAAAAAAAAAAAAAAAAATACAGTGAAAAGGTTTAATTTGACCATTTATATCAACTATTCAACATAACTATGTACAGCCATCTTATCCTCCAAAAACAACAAGTTTAACAAAGGATGGTCATTAATGATGAAACTGATAATTAAAACTTCTGAAAGAAGATACAGTTGGGACCGGATACAGTGGCTCACACCTGTAATCCTAGCACTTTGGGAGGTCAAGGTGGATGGATCACTTGAGGTCAGGAGTTTGAGACCAGCCTGGCCAAAATGGCGAAACCCTGTCTCTACTAAAAATAATAGCCAGGCATTGGTGGTAGACACCTGTAATCCCAGCTACTTGGGAGGCTGAGGTAGGAGAATCGCTTGAACCTGGGAGGTGGAGGTTGCAGTGAGCTGAGATCACACCACTGCACTCCAGCCTGGGTGACAGAGCAAGATTTCATCTCAGAAAAAAAGAAAATATAGTCAGGCCTCTGTATCCACAGGTTTTGCATCCGCAGATTCAACCAAGGAGATGGAAGATAAAGCATTTGTGGGATGAGGAACCCACAAATAGAGGGCTGACTTTTTGTATCTGCATATAGCACATTTTCCTATGTTCAGGGCAGAATGCAGAACTTGAGCATTTATGAATTTTGGTGTCCGTGGGCTTTCTGGAACCAATTCCCTGTGGATACCAAGGGACAACTGTAGAGATGAATTTAAACAGCCATTTCAAATGCCTTTAGTCAAAAGCATACCTAACTTTACCCAGCAGATAAAGGAAAAAAAAATCTGTAACATAAACTACGCTATTCCTATATGAAGAAGAGATGTAACAGTATATTGGAAATGAACTTTTTGACTAGAAAAGCATATTCAGACTCATGCCTTTATTTGTTACTACAAATAGTTTGGGAACTCCAGCTTTATACTTAACTTCAAACAGATTCTGAAAACATATCTTAAGCATTTGAAATTAGAGGAGTAACATCTATTTTTCCAGTATCTTCAAACATTCGACTATAATAGACAACAGACACTTGAACAAGTAACTTTAAAAACAGTCATGACAAATTTCCTTCATTATGATTTAGAGAGTTTAGCCTTACCATCTCTTATCTGTTAAGATTAAAAAAAAAAAGAAAGGAAAAAAAAACCACCTACCCGTACCAAAAACAATGTAAAGATTATTTCCTTTCCGGTCCAGGAGATAACAAATTAGTAGTTCTGTTGAGCTATGGATCCAGAAGTCTACATTTTAAGCAGCTATACCTGGTGATAAGTATGTAGGGAAGAGGGTCTGAATTTCCACGATCAATGAAATGTAAATAGTTTCCTGAGTGTTACAATGCAGAGCATTGTAGTGCCTTTAGTTTAAATGAACTGAACGCTAGAAATGTTTAATTCAATTAAATGTTAGAAGCATGGTATGAGAGGGGAAAAAAGGGGCTTTAGAGTCAGAGAAATGGGTTCAAATCAAATACCCTAGTTTATTATGTAACCTTTTACAAGTCAACTTCTCTGAGCCTTGGTCTTTTCACCAATAAAATGAGGATAATACTGCCTCCAACAGCACTTTTATATATATTAAATAAGATAAGCATGTGCCACAATGACTACTACAAAGCAATCCTCAATCACCACCTCTTTTCTTCCTACCCTCTCTCTACTAAACGTCAGAATCTTGCCTTTGGTCAACGCCCTTCACTCAGTAGTGTGCTGGTTAACATTTAACAACTAGCTGTCCAGGGGAAGAATGCCCAGTTTACAGCACTGGTTAGTAACACTGGCTTATTTCTGTGGTGTAATATTCCCACCATGGCTGATCCCAAGCAGGAAGTCACTGAATGCAGAGATGTAAAGAGATTGTGCAATAGCACATTATTATTAATAGCACACATTATTCTCTATCCCATTTATTAACTCTATTTTGTTTGATTTTCCCCATTACACTTTCACCTTTTAAAATGTATCTTCTTTGTTTAGATATTTGTCACCTGTTTCCCCTGACAAGAAAAAGCCTCAGGAAGACAGGCATCTTGTATCATGCTAAGTAGCTGTAAAATTCCAAAAAATATAAAAAAGTGTTTAAAAATAAAGACTAATTCAATCAAAACATATCCTCAATATCAGTGCAATTATTCCTTCTGTCTGGTAAAGGAACAAAGAATAATCATGACCAGTAAATATCAAATATTTAAATTCACACAGCAGACTACTTCTCCTACATCACCTAGTTCAGTCAATAAAAAGAGGCCAGACAGAGGCACTTCCATATAAGATGTCCAACTAGAATATCATACTAATTGAAACCAAGGCAGGCAATCTTACCATCCTTAATAAATAAATTCAGGCAGTTATTTTATGACTATAGAAAGGGAAACAAATACTACTGTTAATAAGTCACATATTATCTTTTTTTATGTTTTATTAATCCAGCTTGTAGGCAAAGCCTCCACACCTTGAATTTACTTTACCTGCATTAATTAACATCTGCAAACATTCTACAGAGTTGTGATAAGCTGCTTCATGAATCGGCATCCATCCCCTGTTATCAGCGACGTCAACACTTCGGCCCTTTCTGAGCAGTTTCCTTAAGACTTTTACATTGCCTTCCCTGGCAGCAAGTCCAACTGTAGAGCACGTGTCCGCATAAGCTTCTGTAAAATCCATTTGTTTGACCAGTCTACAAAACAAGGTAGAAGGATAATGCTATAGTCAATGAAACAACACTTCACTCCTATAGACAAGCAGGTCATGGTGGGCCTGGTCTAGCATCTCTCACATGACTGCTGAAGAATGGCCCACAATACAGAAAGTGACCGCAATGCCACAGTCTCTGCTGGTGCCTAAACAAGGAAGTTCCTCTGTTTGGCAGATTAGAATTCCTTGGACTGTTCCTACTAAAAACATGAAGGGACTTCTAAGTGTTCTATCTTTCCTCTTCTGGAAATGTTTGAGCAGCAATTTCCAGCAGGCTTCAGCTCCTGTTCATATACCACCACAATGTACTCTTTGGTGCTCCATTAATGAGAGCACCTCTAGTTAATCCCCAGTGTACACTACATTATGCAGAGATGGCCATTCAACTACTGGCAATAATCACTCTCAATATATAGCCCTCTATAGGAAATAACTGGACCCAAAAAGGCCAGAAAAGCAGTGCAAGATGGGTGTCATTCTAGTCTTCCTGTACTTGCTGGTCCTTTCCAGAAGAAGTTAAACACTCAGGCTCTCTATGCTTGACCAAATAGTCTCACTGACTGAGCATATTGAAACAGAGAACACTATAAAGGGATGAGTCCTGCTTTCCCACATATCCCACAATTTCTTCACAGAATTCTTGCCCACATCATCCATCATCTCTCTCCAGTGCTCACTTCAAGTTCCCCTGCAGTCAGTGTCCAGTATAGCTCTCATGTGACTCTCTCAAAGACACAATTTCTTGCCAGTGACTATGAAGCAGTTTAGATATGGAATACGTATTTGATGACAAATTATTGTTTAGTTTCTTAGATGTGATAATGGTATAACAGTTATGTCCTGATTCTTTTTTTTTTAGGGAACTCGTTCTAGGATGAATGTCCTTATTCTTATAAGACACATATAGAGTATGTGGCAGTAAAATATCATAACACATGCAACATACTTCAAATATTTTTCATTTAAAAGTATAGAGAAAAAAAGGAAGTAAAGCAACTGTGCAAAATGCAAATTACTGGATCTAGATGAAAGGTACTGGTCATTACACTCTTTTAATCTAACTTTTCTGCATATTCAAAATTTTTCAAAAAAGGAGGGTTAGCAACCATGTCAGGCAATATGGAACTACAAGTTAGAGAAAATAGGAAAAGACCTGTTTGGGGTTTTTTTTTGTTTGTTTTTTTTTTTTTTTTTGGTGGCAGCTTCCTGCTGATTTCTTTATAAGAAAACAAGTAATACCCCTTGAATCTGAGTGTTTCAGCATTCAAGACCATGGTATAGAAATCTTCAAGAAAGAACAATCATTTGTGGCTTCTGTTTTCTCACACACACACACAGACACACACACACACACACACACACACACACACACACACACACGGCCATCATAGTCCAAGTGAGTTTCCTAAAGAATAGTTTGCAGCAATAGCTCTAACCAGCAGATCTTCAAAAAATTTTAGGACCCTTGACCCCTTAGAAAAACTCATGAAAGCTGTAGTTCACCCCAGAAAAGTGTACATCCCAAATTTTGTACACAATTTCAGCAGGTTCCCCAGCTCGTTTCCAAAGCCTTTACTGGAACCCCAAGTTAAGAACATTTGCCTGCTCTTTTGTGAAAAAGCCACTGAGGATGCTAAAGATGAATAAGACTGTGTAAAATTTAAATACATAAACAATTCCCATTGAAAAGGCAGCTACTCTTTCACAGACGTAAACATTTATTGTAAACGTTCTGCTTTTATTTGAAAGGCAAAACACATTTTTTTTCCAGGGCATAAAATTAAATATGGATTACATTCCTCTGGCTGCTGTTATATGGCAAAAATCTAATTTCCAAAGCAGAACAAAATGTGTTTCTAGGTGCTACCTGTGGTGCTGGTACAACGCCTCCGTATTTGGACAGCAAGAGTGACGACTCCTTCCTCCGCCCCGTTAGAAATAAGCCGAGTTCCAATTTCAGAGCCAAACAGCTCCGCAAGAATTGTGGGTATTGTAGTTCACTATACAAGCGTACTAAAGGTAGGTTAGGGTGACTTACGGAGGCTGCAAAAGAATCCATTGCTTACTACACGGAAGGTCAATGCCTCTTAACCCACTAATCAAGGAAATAAAACAAAGCTGACTGAAACCCAGCCGGAAAACCTTTCTGGATTTAAACTCCCAGTGCGCTTTGCGCCAACAGTGGCCATCGCGCCTGCGCCCCGCGCAGCCGGTTACTCGTGTACCGGAGGCTACAGTCCCCCGCGGCGCGGCGGCAACTAGGGTTCACGGCCGCCGTAGCAGAGCCGCCGCGGAAAGATGTGGGTTTTTGGTTACGGGTCCCTGATCTGGAAGGTGGATTTTCCCTATCAGGACAAGCTGGTCGGATACATCACAAACTACAGCAGGCGTTTCTGGCAGGGCAGCACGGACCACCGCGGGGTCCCCGGCAAGGTGAGGCGCCGGCCAGCTCCCCACACTTACTGCCCCCGGACCCCCGCTCGCCAACTCCACACCCACCACCCAGCTGCGCGGGAGCCACACCCTAGCGTTTATTGGGGGCCAAGTACATGGCTTGGGGTAACACTTATTTCTGTACATTTTCCCTGCCACCTGCCCGCCATCTCTATTCAGCCCGGGCACTCCTTCCGAAGCTACTTAAAATGCCGGTGGTTCTTGATGCCGCGACAAGCGCGGGCACAGGCACTCGAGCTGGCACCAGGCTGAGTGCGGAGAGGGGGCTCCATCTCTCCACAACCTCTGCCAAAAGAAAAAAAAATCCCACTTGCAGGAAGATGAATTTTTTCGTGTCACCAGAGTTGAAATACTAAAATCAAGTTGCAAATTCAGCTTTTTAGCAATTAAATTTGTTGACATTTCTGCATTCTAGCAGACTTTCATAGGTTTGCGATTAAACGTGCATGTTACTTCTAGGATTTCTTTACATCTCTCAAAAGTTTTATTTTTCTGACACCTAGGATCGCAGAAGAACGAGTTTCAAATTTTTCACTGGTGATTAAGGAACTCATTTTGGTTTTCAGGTACTAGCGAAGTTAAATGAAGTTCTGGTTACATGAGTAACACAGTACCAAATTCATTACTATATCTAACATTTTAATGTTAGTTTCTTGATGTTTCTTATAATATGAAATGTAAGCTATTTGATCCACTTTTCAGTCGGTCATACAAAGACATAAATCTCAATGTATGTATAGAGAATTAGCAGCAGCTCACTGCTTATGCAAATCAGCTTTGTACCGACTGCAAAACAACTAATTCATAAAGAAAACTAAGATTGAGGTAACTCATAATTTGGAAATTTGTCAATGGAAAGGGGAAAACATCAAGGCTCTAAAATAGTTTGCACATGCTCATAAAAGAGACACAGGATTAAAATCATGAAAAGAACCTGAGTTAGAAGCCATTCCATTTTAACTAGAGTTGGTCAATTAAGAACTTGGCTTTTAGGTAGACTGTACTGACCTATTAGCATGTTGGACAGAATGACTCGAAAAGGGGGAAATGGCTTAGGGTAAATGCACATTTATAGATCAACAGAAATGTCATAGCCAAAGTATCTCCAAGAATCTTCTAAACAATATTCAAGACATTAACGAACTAAAGTAAATAAAATGCCTTTTCAGTTGTCAGTTTTGGCTAGGCCTGGTGCCTCATGCCTGTGATCTCAACACTTTGGAAGTTTGAGCCAGGAGGACTGCTTAAGGCCAGGAGTTTGAGAATTGTCATTTTTAAATATGCATATTTAAAATGGCCATTCTGAAGAGAAAACCTTTAGCCCAGGCTCCAATTATAATGACCAAGTACTAAATATTTATGTATGTGGTTATAAAAACATATTTTACTACTATAGTCTTTTGACCAAAATGTGCTGTGTGTTACATAGCACACTGAAATATGTATGCTGTCAGAACAGACTGATGATTAGAAATTGCCTAGTCAATACAACAGTCCATGATTCTTTAAAAGGAGAAAGGAGCTGAGCCAGGCACAGTGGCTCACGCCTGTAACCCTAGCACTTTGGGAGGCCAAGGCAGGCAGATCACCTGAGGTTGGGAGTTCAAGACCAGCCTGACCAACATGGAGAAACCCCATTTCTACTAAAAATGCAAAATTAGCTGGGTGTAGTGGCACATGCCTGTAATCCCAGCTACTTGGGAGGCTGAGGCAGAAGAATCGCTTGAACCTGGGAGGTGGAGATTGCGGTGAGCCGAGATCGCACCATGAACAACAAGAGCGAAACTCCATCTCAAATAAAAACTTAAAGGAGCTATAAAAGCCAGTAGCTCTTTATAGTAAAATATAGGAAAGGAAAGTAAGGGGGCAAAGCTGCACTGGCTAACATTTTTACACCTACTTTTATTTAAGGAATTTATCCTAGCAAATTAAACTGAAATCTAATTACATTTATTGTTCTGTTAAAAAAAAAAAAATGGAAAGAACATCATAAATTTACCTCACATTTTTAATTAAAATGGATTGCCAGCCTTATATCTCACAAAACTGGCAGTTTCTCATCAAAGTATTTTATTTAAATGTTTTTCACACATCAAATAGAATATATTACAATTTTAAAAATTTTAATGCAAGAGACAATCATAAACATTCACTAGATTTCTAACTTTTCTAGATCAGAAACACTACTCATTACACAATGCAAACATTCATCATGACTCATATTTTACATCCTCTAAACCCATTCAGGTAGATGTTTCTCAGTAACATACTGAGAACAGAGTTTAAGTTTTAGAAAATATTTCCAAGTAATTTTCTTTCTTTCTGTCCTTTTTTTTGGAAATGGAGTCTCCTGTCACTCAGGTTGGAGTGCAGTGACAGGTTCTGCGGACACTGCAACCTCTGCCCTCCAGGTTCAAGTGATACTCCTGCTTTAGCCTCCTGAGTAGCTGGGATTACAGGTATGCACCACCATGCCTGGCTAATTTTTGTATTTTTAGTAGAGATGGGGTTTTGCCATGTTGGTCAGGCTGGTCTTGAACTCCTGGCCTCAAGCAATCCACCCGCTTCAGCCTCCCAATGTGCTGGGATTATAGGCGTGAGCCACCACACCCAGCCTCCAAGTAATTTTATTTATTATAGTGCCAGTAGTTCATGTCTGTATCATCCAAAGCAGTCACAGGATTCCATTTATTTCCCCTTAAAATCACTCCCTGCATACTCCTTTGTGTTTTGTGTTCCACCAGCCACCACTTCAATCTAAAACTTCACTACTCCTTTTCAATAATTACTACTAAGCACTTATATAAGTGGGAGACAGTTATGCAAACAAAAATATTTGATAAGTGCTGTAAGGAAAACAAATGAAGGGGCAGTAAGAGTTTGGGGGAAGGAGCTGCTAAGTCCATCTGGAGAGATAATGCCAGGAAGTGGGCAGATGATACAGGCAAATAAAAGGGAGAAGGGCATTCTGCACTAGGCACCAGTATATTCAAAGATATGAGTGTTTTTAAGAGTTACAAATTAATTCAGTAAAACTTCAGGGTAAAAATGGAAAGAAATTAGGTTTGTAGTTAAGTCATGCTAAAGAATTTTTTTTTTAAGAGACAGGGTCTCACTCTGTCACCCAGACTGGAATACAGTGGCATAATCACGACTCACTACAAACTCAACCTCCCAGGCTAAAGTGATCCTCCCCGCTTCAGCCTCCCTAAGTAGCTGACACCACAGGTGCACGGGCACCATGCGTGGCTAATTTTTTGTATTTTTGGTAGAGACAGGGTTTCACCATGTTGCCCAGGCTGGTCTCAAACTCGTAGGCTCAAGCCATCTGCCTGCCTCAGCCTTCTAAAGAGCTGAGATTACAGGCATGAAACACCCATGCCCGGCCAAGGATTTTTATTTTATGCTGTATAATATCACAGCTATGAAAATTTTGAAGCAAGAGAGTGACTCGCCCAATTTTTGCACCAGAAAGTCATCCTGGGCCCAACTACAGAACAGACTGGAAGGAAGCAAAACTAAAGTTAGGCAGGAAAATCTTTAAGGAAGCTACTGAAAGATAGAACTAGACTCAGATGACACTCTAAAGACAGTTACCAAGAATTGGTTACGGGGCTGGATGCAAGGGGAAACAAGGAGAGATGGAGTGCCAAACTTGTCACCTGTACCACTAACATTTCTTACTGGTGCACTTCCTCCTTCCACTTTAAGTTGAGTACTACATACTTTATCAACCGAATTGTTCCAAAGCATTTCTTTGATCATGCCAGTCACCTACTACCCAAGTTGTGTAGTAGCTCCTTAACTGCCAACTTCTCTCAAATTTCAGTGGCTTATTTCCACTGCCCGCTAATTTCAAATCTGCTCTTTGGCTTTTCTAATCTGACTTTACCCTGTTTCTCCAGTCATCTTTCTGAATCATCTCCTCTATGTGGGGACCCTCTGCTAAAGTCAGACTCTTGGCCTGGTGTAGTCCTGCCTCTAAGGATTCATGAATTGTGAGTCATGTCCTTTCACCAGAATAGGGGTCTTTCTGATCACCTAAGACTCAAAATTCTTACTGCACTTAATAAATACCATACATCTTAGCCCGTAAGCTCAATTTATTTCACATGTTAGTTTGCATTCTAGAATGACAATATAAGCTACTGGAAGCAAGAGCCAAGATTACTTCTCCACAGCACAGAGTAGGTATTCAGTAAATAAATTCTAATTCACTTTGAAATTGAAAGTACTATGACAATATCTACTTGACCCTCACCAATATATGTACCCTCATCATAGCATTATCTTAAAAACAAGTCAGAAATCTAAATGTCCAAGACACACAAATGTTTATAGTACATCAATGACACAATATTATCCCTATTAAAATGTATGAGAAGACTAACAGGAAAATTAAATGAGAAATGATAATCCAAAATCCCATGTGTTCCACGATTATGAATTATCTATATGAACAGATAAAGACTAGAAGGAAATATCAACAAAGATGACACAAATGCCTGAAAGATTCACGGTCACTATGTGCCAGACACTGGGCATACAAGTAGGTAAAATTGTAGCTTACAACTTAGCATTCCCATGATTGATGTTCAGGTATCAGTACATATACAGGCTTCGGTACTATGTGGACGAATTTTATTTTTAAAAAAAAGCTTGTAGGCACCTTTGTGCCTTAAATTATGGAACATTCCAAGTCTGGACTTTCTCTAAGGCTTTCCATTTATAAACAAAGACTGTTTTATCAGTCTTTGAAATGGAAGAACAAACAAAATTTGTTTTGGCTTGATAATATCTCATTTCAACCTCAAGTTGAATAGTAAAGAGTGAAGCTTTCCATATAACTGTTAACTGAGCTGTGTTAAAACCAAAAAAATAAAATTGCCTAGAACACAGATGGTCTGACTGTCCCATATAAGAAATACACAAATAGGCCAGTTCTAATATAAAGTTCATAGAGTATATGAATGTAAAAGGAATGCCTGCCTTGAAGTACCCATTACCATATAAAAAAGGTAAGAACACTTCATAACTCAGAAGTATAAATCATTCATTCTCTCACACTTCAAACCTCTTAATATACTCTGGTAGCAGTGATTCTTAAAAGTATGAGCCCCCAAACAATTTCTGGAATCGGCAGGAAAGTTGTTATAGACACAAATTCGTAAGACAGCTCCAGACCTACAGAATCAGAAGCTCTGGAGGTATGTATGGCCTAACAATGCGTTTGTCAAGCCCTCTGGGTCATTTTGATCTACACTAAAGGTTTGAAAGCCACTTCCCCATAGGAAATGGGGAAGTGATGTCATTTTTTTTCCCTAATAAAACTAAAGGCGTGGTGGCTCACGCCTGTAATCACAACACTTTGGGAGGCCAAGGAAGGTGGATTACCTAAGGTGAGGAGTTCGGTATCAGCCTGGCCAACATGGTGAAACCCCCGTCTCTACTAAAAATATAAAAATTAGCTGGGTGCGATGGCGGGCACCTGTAATCCCAGCTACTCATAAGGCTGAGATAAGATAATCACTTGAACTGGGGAGCTGGAGGTTGCAGTGAGCCGAGATCTCATCATTGCACTCCAGCCTAGGCAACAAGAGTGAAACTACAACTCAAAAAATTAAAAAACAAAAAATAAAATAAAAACATAACATTATGGCTGGGAATGGTGGCTCATACCTGTAATCCCAGCACTTCGGGAGGCCAAGGCAGGCAAATCGCAAGGTCAGGAGTTCGAGACCAACCTGACCAATATGGTGAAACCCCATCTCTACTAAAAATACAAAAAATGAGCTGGGCGTGGTGATGCATACGGGTAATCCCAGCTACTCGGGAGGCTGAGGCAGGAGAATCGCTTGAACCCAGGAGGCAGAGGTATACATATAACATTATTTTTTCCTAAGGGGAAAACCAGAATATTTATCATACTGTTTCCATTTGCCTTTCATTTTAGATGATCCTTAGTCACTGGTATGTTTTCCAATATATTCATGTAAGTGAATTATTACATAATATATGTAATATGTATAAATTGATGGAAATATTTAAAAGGCCAACACAGTCTAGATAAAGTAGATTCTCTTAGCTTTATCATAAAAAATAAGTATGCTTAAGAAATAGTGCTTCTTATGGGCAAATATAGTTCAAATATTCCACGTCAAAAATGTTGCTAATGGCCAGCTACTTAATGAACTTCATTAATTCAGAATTTTTTTTTTTTTTTTACTTTTTTAAAAACAGCCTGGAAGAGTTGTGACTCTTGTTGAAGATCCTGCGGTATGGTATAAATATTCTTTTTTGTATAATTTTAATTTTATAAAATGTTGAGATTTTCCGTTTTAATTTTATTAACAATTGTCACAGACAATTTGAATTACCCTACCCAATTTGAGCTACTATTTGAACTAAGACAATTTAGAATTGTTTTCTGTATTTGTGGGGGTTTTTTGTGTGTGTTTGTGGAAAATGAGGCCAATAAGAAAAGTCAGAATGTAGGATGCAAGGTAGACAACGAAGTACAAACAAATGGCATGTAGTCTTGTTTTTGTGGGGTTTTTTTTTCTTTTTTTCTTTTTTTCTTTTTTTTTGAGACAAGAGTCTTGCTCTGTCTCCAGGTTGAAGCACAGTGGCGCAGTCTCGGCTCACTGCAACCTCCACCTCCTGGGTTCATGCGATTCTTCCGCCTCAGCCTCCCGAGTAGCTGGGACTACAGGCACATGCCAAACGCCCGGCTAATTTTTGTATTTTTAGTGGGGACGGGGTTTCACCATGTTGGCCAGGATGGTGTTGACCTCTTGACCTCGCGATCCACCCGCCTCGGCTTCCCAAAGTGTTGGCGTCAGCCACCGCGCCCGGTCTTGTGGGCTGTTTTAAAAACAAGTTTAAGAATTTTGTGGTCCCCTTTAACATTAATGGAAATACCCACCAGACAGCCAGACTACCACCAAGAATTAAATGGAACCCTTAAAAGCTCTCTTCACTTTTTCTAGGAGTCTCATATTCAGCAGAAATCTAAGTCAGGAATTCCTTTTTTCTTGCTTGCTTAATAGTATCAATAGCACCTGTTTTTTTTGTTGTTTTTTTTTTTTTTTTCAGACGGAGTTTCGCTCTTGTTACCCAGGCTGGAGTGCAATGGCGCGATCTCGGCTCACCGCAACCTCCGCCTCCCGGGTTCAGGCAATTCTCCTGCCCCAGCCTCCTGAGTCGCTGGGATTACAGGCACACGCCACCATGCCCAGCCAATTTTTTTTTGTATTTTTAGTAGAGACGGGGTTTCACCATGTTGACCAGGATGGTCTCAATCTCTTGACCTCGTGATCCACCCACCTCGGCCTCCCACAGTGCTGGGATTACAGGCTTGAGCCACCGCGCCCGGCCTTGTTTTTAACTTTTCAGGAGTACATGTGCAGGATGTGCAGGTTTATTACATAAGTAAACATGTCATGGGGGGTTGTTGTACAGATTATTTCATCACCCAGGTATAAATATTAAGCCTAGTATCCATTAGTTGCTTTTCTAGATCTTCTTCCTCCTCCCACCCTCCACCCTCTAGTAGGCCCCAGTAGCACCTGTGTTTTTAAAACTTGTTTGGAGCACCAAAAAGTTTTATGTAACCAACAATCCTCAGTTTCTTAAATATTTTCAATCATTTTATTGCGGTACAAATTCAGAATTTTATATTGTAAAATGTTAACTTTGGAAAGGACTTTAATAAGCAAAAATCAAGCAGTTAGTAATGGTAGATAATGGTGTAGATTAGGAAATGCTTTCATAATTGATACTATGAAAAGCATCTATAAAAAACAGCTTCGGGCCGGGCGCGGTGGTTCAAGCCTGTAATCCCAGCACTTTGGGAGGCCGAGGCGGGTGGATCACGAGGTCAAGAAATCGAGACCATCGTGGTCAACATGGTGAAACCCCGTCTCTACTAAAAATACAAAAAATTAGCTGGGCATGGTGGTGCGTGCCTGTAATCCCAGCTACTCAGGAGGCTGAGGCAGGAGAATTGCCTGAACCCAGGAGGCGGAGGTTGCGGTGAGCCGAGATCGCGCCATTGCACTCCAGCCTGGGTAACATGAGTGAAACGCCGTCTCAAAAAAAAAAAAAAACAGCTTCAAATTGGTAACTCATAACTCCTAAACAGTTGATAAACAAATGGCACTTTGTTTCTATATGTAATTTTTTAATGATCAAGTGAAAACCTGGTAGTTTTCCTTTCAGTCCCATTATTAAAGAAAAAGACCAAATTTAAAAAAAAAGATAAAATGCTGTGCCTATGATACAAAGAAATTATTCACAATAGAGATTTTAAAATGCTTATTTCTTTTATTTCTTTTTTTTTTTTCTTTTTTGAGACAGAGTCTCATTCTATTGCCAGGCTGGAGTGCAGTGGCACGATCCCAGCTCACTGCAACTTCCGTTTTCCGGTTTCAAGCAATTGTCCTGCCTCAGCCTCCCAAGTAGCTGGGACTACAGACAGGCACCACCACGCCAGGCTAAATAAATTTTTTGTATTTTTAGTAGAGACGGGGTTTCACCATGTTGGCCAGGATGGTCTCGATCTCTTGACCTCGTGATCTGCCCACGTCGGTCTATTTCCTTTATTGTTTAGTATGTTGCTCTGTGCACTTTTAAGTGAAGAAAAACTATATTGACTTTTTTTTGTTGTTGAGATGGAGTCTCACGCTGTCACCCAGGCTGGAGTGTAGTGGCACGATCTCTGTTCAATGCAACCTCTGCCGCCAGGGGTTCAAGCAGTTCTCCTGCCCAAGGCTCCCAAGTAGCTAGAATTACAGGTGCCTGCTGCCACGCCTGGCTAAAATTTGTATTTTTAGTAGAGACAGAGTTTCACCATCTTGGCCAGGCTTGAACTCCTGACCTTGTGATCCACCTGCTTTGGCCTCCCAAACTGCTGGGATTACAGGCGTGAGCCACCATGCCCGGCTGACTTTTAAGAATATACAAGATACATGGCAAGTACTAGAGCCCCCCCCAAAAAAAGAATATACAAGATACAGCCAGGCATGGTGACTCACACCTATAATCCCAGCACACTGGGAGGCCAAGGTGGGTGGATCACTTGAGATCAGGAGTTCGAGACCAGCCTAGCCAACAGGACAAAACCCCTTCTTTACTAAAAATACAAAACTTAGCTGGACATGGTGGTGCGTTCCTGTAATCCCAATCCCAGTTACTCGGAGGCTGAGGTAGGGGAATCACTTGAACCCGGGAGGCTAAGGTTGTGGTGAGCCAAGATCGTGCCACTGCACCATAGCCTGGGCAACACACAAGACTTAGTCTCAAAAACAAACAAACAGAAATGAATATATGAGGTACTCTCGGCCAGGTGTGTTGGCTCATGCCTGTATTTCAGCACTTTGGGAGGCCAAGGTGGGTGGATCACCTGAAGTCAGGAGTTCAAGACCAGCCTGGACAACATGGTGAAACCCCATCTCTACTAAAAATACAAAAATTAGCCAGGCATGGTGGCACATGCCTGTAATCCCAGCTACTCAGGAGGCTGAGGCGGGGGAATCGCTTGAACCCAGGAGGCGGAGATTGCAGTGAGCCAAGATCACACCACTGCACTCCAGCCTGGGCAATAGAGCAAGACTCCATTTCAATAAAAAAAAAAAAAAAAAAAGAATATATGAGATACTCTCTTAGATCACAACCTATCGTCACCTATTTTAATTAGCCTTATAAATACTAGTGTATTCTTTTCATTTTTCAACAGGGATGTGTATGGGGTGTTGCTTACAGATTGCCAGTAGGAAAGGAAGAAGAAGTAAAAGCATACCTTGACTTCAGAGAGAAAGGAGGCTACAGAACCACAACAGTCATTTTTTATCCAAAAGATACCACAACAAAACCATTCAGTGTATTGTTGTATATTGGAACATGTGATAATCCTAACTATCTTGGTCCTGCACCTCTGGAAGACATTGCTGAACAAATTTTTAATGCAGCTGGTCCAAGTGGAAGAAATACAGAATATCTTTTTGAACTTGCAAATTCTATTAGGAACCTTGTGCCAGAAGAAGCAGATGAGCATCTTTTCGCTTTGGAAAAATTAGTAAAGGAACGTATAGAAGGGAAACAGAATCTCAATTGCATATAAAGAACTAATCATTGACTTTTGTAAACAAGCAGAGCTTTTAGTCTTCAGAGAATTAACTTCAGTGCACAATGGCAATATGATTTGGAAATATGTTTGAAGATCCTATTTTTAATCTAGTGAAGATATTATCTAAACTTATAGTTTAATTGGAGATGTCCTGAAACACATATATTCAAAAGATTGGGATACAGTGAAAGAAAAATTCAAATTTTAATAATATAAAGATTTCCTAACTTTATGCTATTGAACACTTACTCATTAGAAGTGAGTTCTTCAGAAAAATACAGTGAAGGACTCAGTTCAGTCTGGTTTTTATCAGAATAACAATAATCCTGTTGTTTCATATCCCAATACTATTTTGAAGTTCTAAAGAATTAAACCAAAAGTTAACTAAATATAAGGTTATGCCTTCAATATATTCCCATACAATTCCGTAACCATGGTTTAAAATATACATGTTTAAAATAACACGATTAGAAATACATAGTAATATGAATAGTATTTCAGCCTTAATTGTGAATTTCCTTGTTATTTAGGTATTAAATGAAACCTTTTCAGTTTTAAGCCAAAAATTGGCATTTTTTTTAATATAAAAATTTCCTTGGAATTATAATGTACCTCTTCTTTTTTAAATAAAGGCATTTTACTGTATGGAAAATAACTCACTAAAGCACAAATTACATTATACAAATCATGATCACTAACGATGTAGTCTGTCATTCACGTTTTATTAATCTTATACCAAAACTGAAAAAAATGGGCTTTCTGATACTACAAACTAATGGCATACATAATGAAAGTTTAGTTTTTAAAACAGCTTTTGGAATTCTTTGTCTGTCTCTCTCTCAAGATATATATATGTATGTATATTTTCCGTGTGTGTGTGTGTGTGTGTGTGTGTGTATTTATTCATTCATTTATTTTACAGCCTGCAGTCTGGCCATCCCACAGGCTGGGAAGTGTAACCTCTGGCAGAAGCCAAGAGCAAGCACCTCCTAGAATCATAATTTTTTATTTGCATAAATTTATAGGATACAAGTGCCATTTTGTTACATGCATAGATTGTATTTTTTGTTTGTTTGTTTTTTAGTAAGAAGTGGCATTACCTGGTATTTGTACATAACTTTCTTTTTCTTTCTTTTATCTTGTCATCCAAAGAAGAGTATCAATTGGGTGTATACTAGTACTCAACTAGGAAACAAGCTATTAACTCACACAGAATTAAACTTTGATTCAAACTATTCAGGTTATTCCTGATTATAGGTTATTTCTTTCTCAATAGGACATATAATCTCTTTAGAATCTTTCACCATAAAAACTTCAGTATAAAACTAAATTTAATATGACACTTACTAAAAGCTCCTTAAACCCAGGCATGATTAATAATTAGTACAGAAGTTTTTTCACATAAAGCTGTCCTACATGTCCTTTTCATGTTTTCTTATTTAATAACATCTAACTTAGTAATTTACTCAGCTACATAACTACTTTAAATATCTTCCACCATTTTAAATATTAGTTTTCGAGAAGGCATTTTACTTGTCCTGTAAAACAGAAAGGGTGCTCAATTTATTAATGAATATCTCATAAGGATGTGCTAGGCACTTTACATATGGAGGCATATGTCCTCATTTTCTGCATAATTCCTCTAGCTTGTTTCCATAGTAACTTGCACTCAGTTATGCATCTAACAAATGGCTGAAATCCACGTTGCTCTGACTTTGGAGCACACGATTCTTCTATAACATGTTTTTAAAAAACCCATCTGAAATTAACTACTGTCACTACCCTGCTGGTTTTTTTCAAAGGTAAACAAGATTAAACAAGATTAATGATTAATTTCACTTGTATAATGAAATAGTATCTAACTGATTACATAAAGATGTTAGAGTTAATTTTCACAGATGTGTATATATTCCCACAAATATAACAAGCCTATCCAAGACTGACATGCTCAGAATCATGTCAGTCAATGCAGAGACCTAGTTTTTCATTTTACAAAGTCCGAAGGAGTGTGTGATTCCCCAAAGTGATTATCATTTAATAACTAGCTTGCAGAATACTAAGAGAGAGGGATTACTTTGGGATCATCATTTATACATCTTTCTAGGCTTACCATTAGAAGTTAAACTAGAAGATTTGTGAATATACACGTGGTATACCATCATCATTTACAGGGAGATTGTGTTCCACACAGCCGAGGGAAGGGATATTCATTTTCATTAGGATGGGGAGAAACTGACTGAAATGGAAAAGTTAAATTCTAGTATCAGAAGCTGGGGTTAGGAGCCTCCAAGCTAGAAACAACTGTGGTGCCAAATTACTTAGAGTATGTTTTCATTGCAAAGCTCAAGTCTCTTTACAGCCCTCAGATATCACTTTCAAAACATTTTCTCTCTTGCTCTAATTACATACAACACAAAACTCAGATTCTCATTCCTCACAGTAGAAATATTAGGTAGGTATTCAGTTTTAGGAATTCAAGAAAAGGTAAGTGTGAACCCTACATTTAGAAAAGAAACTAAAATTTTCTTTTAAATCTCGGATTAAATTTTTAAAAGTTGGTCTTTGTACTCCTAGTCCAGACCACTATTATAATACTTTTCCCCACTCCCAAAGAATACATTCAGTCTTCAATTTACCAAGAACTGTAAGCATCTAGATGCCACTATCTACATACATAAAGTTAATTTAGGGAAACAAAGATTATTATGATGTCAACTCAGAATATTTAAAAGCATGAACATGACTCATTTCACTGTGACTGATTTTAAAAGTTTGACCATTGTCTATTGATATGCATTCATATTAAATGGGAAAATTTTTAATTTTTTAATCAAGTACCTGAAATGTATATTACTGTACATCTTGAAAGTACCTATTTACTTTTAATATAGATAAAACATTACATAATGACTGATAAAGTCAATAAATATTATTTAAAATTACTTTATATCACATATTCAGAGTATCATGGGTTCAGTTTCTCTTCAAGATTCCTAATAATTATAATCATGATGCCAGAACTGTATTTGGTCTATTAGATATTTTTCAAATATTTTCCAGAAATCTAATACATTTCATTATATTAGATTTCTCTGTTCCATAGATACATTTTGTTTTTAAATTACAACTTCGGAGAATACTCTCTCTATGAGTAAGTGCATATCCTTACATCATGGGTCGTTGTAAATATCAATGTAAACATCGTATTTGTCATTTACCATCCCTTGTTCTTTCTTTCCAGACAATCAGATGACAAATGTGCTTTAAAATTCCCTTTAATCACATCACGTTAAAAATTACTATCAAATGTTCCTATAATACCTATCTTCTCAACAAAAATACTGACTACAGTCTGTATTAATTTATTCAGCTTTTAGCAATCTATTTTTTTATTTGTTTTTGTTTTACTCTTAGCAATCTATTTTTATGGATTTCTAAAATTGTGAATTTGGCCAGTGTAGTGGCTCACACCTGTAATCATAGCACTTTGGGGTGCCATAAAGGGACGATCACTTCAGGCTAGGAGCTAGAGACCAGCCAGGGAAATGTAGCAGAACCCCGTCTCTATAAAAAATTTAAAAATTAGCCAGGTGTGGTGGCATGCACCTGTAGGCCCAGCTTCTCAAGAGGCTGAGGCAGAAGTATTGCCTGAATCCAGGAGTTCGAGGCTGCAGTGAGCCACGATGACACCACTGCACTCCAGGCTGGGCAACAGAGCAGGACCCTGTCTCAAAAATAATAATATAAAACCTTGAATTCACTGCTGGCATATATTAGAGACTCAAAGATTTTGTAGTCCTGTAACTACTAAGTCGAAGCATTTTAACTATTCCAAAGACAACTACAGTACTAAAATTCTTCTTCTGTATGTCAAATTTATATGATGAAAATTAGCCTTATTGGATTTCAGGGGCTTTTCATTCTTATGGTTCATTTTACCATTCTAAAATATTATATTTCAGTTTCATTTTCTTGGTTGTTTTACTTAATTGTACTGAGCCTCCTCTTTATAAATGATTCGCCTACACATGTACACACACTATAACTGGAAAACTCACCTCTAATCCTACAATTTCTTGTTTTCTTCCAGCTTTCTTATTCTTCACAGAAATTTTTTAACCACATAGTGCTTCACTTCCTTATCAACTCATCTTAATCCCTTTCCAATTCAACTTTACTCTATCATACCACCCAGTCATTATAGTATCAAGTCTCCAGTGACCACTTCCTGACTGAACCCAAAGATTTCAATTTTCATGCTACTCTGGTGCATCAGACACTAGTGATCAAGCATCCCATGTCACTAAGGTCAAAGAGAAAAACATTTCATTGTGTTTCCAATTATAATTCTTAAACTATTCTTTATCACATACACAGTCATCAATCCTAGGCTTCAATTACCATTTTTACTTGGATAGCTTCCAATCTCTAGCCTATTCTCTCAACCTCTTCATATGTCTGTTACATGAAGGCACCTTCCAGTTGTGCTACACAAGCATGGAAACTTAATGTACTAAAACCAGTACTCATCTCCTTTCCCAACCAGAAAATCTGGTCCCACATTACCTCCCTGCAAATAATATACATTAAATGTTGAACAATAGTTCAGGAAAAAAACCAACAGGTTTATGATACTCATATCAATTTATAAAGTTTTAAAGGAAATAGATGGTATTTTCACAATATGTACAAAATGTGTTTGTGCCTTTTTTAATATTAAATTTTACCCTTTTACTAAAATAAAATACATATATATATAACATTTCTTTAAAAGTGTAAGCAATCTTGGCCAGATGTGGTGGCTCATGCCTGTAATCCCAGAACTTTGGAAGGCCAAGGTGGGTGGATCACCTCAGGTCAGGAGTTCGAGACCAGCCTGACCAATATGGTAAAACCCCACCTCAACTAAAAATATAAAAAAATTAGCCAGGCATGATGGCGGGCACCTATAGTCCCAGCTGCTTAAGAGGCTAAGGCAGGAGAATTGCTTGAACCCAGGAGGCGGAGGTTGCAGTAAGCTGAGATTGTGAGCTCACTGCAGCCCAGTGAGCTGGGCAACAGGGCAAGATTCTTGCCTTAAAAAAAAACAAAAAAAGTGTAAGCAATCTTTCATTAAAAGGCCATTAGGCTGAGATAGTTCCAGCACTCTGGGTTCCTATACAAGCAAACTGAAGTCCAATGTAAACAGTAAAACAAAACTTAATCTTTGTTTTTTATTTTTTAATTATAAATTGACAAATATGTATATATTTATGGGGTACAAAGTGATATTATGATTTATGAATAAGATGTGGAATAATTAAATCAATCTAATTAACATATCCATCACCTCAAATACTTGTTTTTTGTAGTGAAAACTTTTGAAATTTACTCTTAGCAAGTATAAAGTATACATTATCAGTCACTATATTCCCCATGCTGTGCAACATATCTCAAAGAAAAAAATTCCTCCCCTTTAACTATCACCTCCCCATTCGCCCATGGCCTCCCCCTACTCCTGGTAACCACTGTTCTACTCTCTGCTTCTTTTAGTTCAATAGTTTTAGATTAAATATACTGTATAAGTAAGCTCATATGGTGTTTGTCTGTCTGTACCTGGCTTATCTCATTTAGCTTAATGTTCTCCAATCCATCCATGTTGTTGCAAATGACAAAGTTTCTTTCATTTTTAAGGCTGAATGAAATACATCCACTGTGTATGTATACCACATTTTTCTTTATCCATTCATCTGTCGAAGGACACTTATATTGATTAGATATCTTGGCCATCAACATATGGATTTCCAATCTTTTAGGTAAATACTCAGAAGTTGGACTGCTGGATCATATAGTAATTCTATTTTTAGTTTTTAGAGGAACCTCCATTATTTTCCACAATGGCTGTACTAATTTACATTGTCATTAACAGCGTACAAAAGTTCCCCTTTCTCCACATCCTCACCAACACTTATCTTTCATTTGTTTGATAATAGCCATTCCATTCTGACACATATGGGGAAATATCTCATTGTGGTTTTAATTTGCATTTCCTGATGATTAGTAACGTTAAGTATTTTTTCATATATCTGTTGGCCATTTGTATGTCTTCTTTTAGAAATGTCTATAAAGGTTCCTTGCCCATATTTTAACTGGATTATTTGTATTCTTTCTGTAGAGTTATTTGAGTTCTTTTTATATTCTAAATTTTAACCCCTTATCACACATATGGCTTGCAAATATTTCCTCCCAATCCACAGGATGTCAGAACTTAATTTTCATCAATCAGAAACCAACAACTATTCTCTAATGAGCAACTTTCTGCCAGATTATACCCAAATAAGACAAACAAGAAGCTATGCCAATCAAGTAATTTTTTTTTTGAGACAAGGTCTCACTCTGTTGGTTGCCCAGGCTGAAGTGCAGTGGTGCAATCACAGCTCACTGCAGCCTCAACCTCCCAGGCTCAAGCAATCCTCCTACCACGGCCTTCCAAGTAGCTGGAACTACTGGATGTGCCAATATGCCTAGGTAATTTTTGTATTTTTTGTAGAGATGGAGTTTCACCATGTTGCCCAGGCTGGTCTTGAACTCCTAAACGCAAGTGATCTGCCTACCTCAGCCTCCCAAAGTGCTAGGATTACAGGTGTGAGCCACCATGCCCAGCCCAATCAAGTAATTTCTTTACTTTGCTTCCACATTCAGCCTGCAAAGGTCTGCTGCTTACACTGTTAAAACAGAGTTCCCTGAACCTCTTCTGGTTTTGGGTACCACCCGATTCATGAATCTTTTAACACACAAATTCTGACAAGTTCATTTTGTCTAAAGTTTTATTTTAACAAAGTCAAAACAAAGTTAGCAAGGAAGCCCTGAAGCCATTTTGGGATAAGGCTTAAAAGGTTACATGATAGTAAAAGGTTACATGCTGAAAGATTCTCAACTAAAGAGCCTTATAATGCATCAAGAGCCAGTTTCTTACATATTCTTGTTTCCAATCTCTTTTCCTCTTTCTAATGCATGCTCTACTCTGCACTCAGAATTACTTTCCTAAAATATAGAACTAAGGTCAGTAATCAAAGATGCCTTCCCACTGCATATAAAAGAATTCAAATCCTTTAATCTGGCATTCAGCTATTTACAATCTGATCAATCTGGTATCAGTGTTTGTCAAATTTCACTTCCCATTGATGTACTCCCCTGCCCCTTGTGCTCCAACCACACCACCCTCTCATTCTTTAAGACTTAGCTCAAATGATGGAACTAATGATATATGACAAGCAATGACTAATGTACTGAGACAACCAAAATAAGTAAGATAGGTCCCAGCTATCAAGAATCATATTTGGTAGAAAAACACACACACAAACAAAGCTATGTAATCAACAAAAGATGTGATATAAAATACAAGCAGAGGAATGGGTATGGTTCTCATGACTGTAATCTCAGCAATTTGGGGGGCCACAGCAAGAGGATCACTTGAAGTCAGTAGTTTGAGACCAGCCTGGGAAACATAGTGAGATCATATCGCTACAAAAATGTAAAAATTAGTTGGGCATAGTGGCACACGTCTGCAGTCCTAGCTACTCTGGAGGCTGAAGCAGAAGGATCTCTTCAGAAGTTTAAGGCTGCAGTGAGCTATCATCATGCCCCTGCACATCAGCCTGGACAACAGAGCAATATTCTGTCTCTAAAGCTAATAACAAATACATAAAATATAAGCAGAATACAGAAAGGCAAGTTACTAATTTAAACTAGCAGAATCAGAGAAAGCTTCAAAGAAAAAATAAAAAGGTATTCATGGGTCAGAGAATAATAGTTACACTTATGTAGCACTTACTATATGCTAGATATTATCCCAAGTGCTTTACGTATATTAACTCATTTAACCCTCATTTTCTAAGATGATGAAAATGAGAGGCAGAGTTTAAGTAAAACAAATGCAGTACCATTATTGAATATTTTACAACACATTAGGCACTGTGCTAAGCACTGAATAGGAACAAAAAGAAATTAAGGCCTATAACTTAAAAATACACACAAAAAAAACAGCTGGGTACAGTGGCTCACACCTGTAATCCCAGCATTTTGGGAGGCTTGAGGGAACAGATCACTTGAGCCCAGGAGTTCAAGATCAGCCTGGGCAACATGGCAAAACCCAGTCTCTTACAAAAACAAAAACAAAAACAAAAACAAAAAAAGCCGGGTGTGGTGGCACATGCTTATAGTCCCAGCTACTCAGGAGGCTGAGGTGGGAGGGTCACGTTAGCCCAGGAGGTTGAGGCTACAATGAGCCAAGATCATGCCACTGCACTCTAGCCTAGGCAACAAAGTGAGATCCAGTCTCCTTCCTTCTGCAAAAAAAAAAAAAAAAAGTGAGAGATGGTAGTTATCTCATTTTGTACCTCCACGGGTATGGTTTAACCCCACTGAGATTCTTTCCTAAAATAGAAAAAAATAGGACTTTTAAAATTAGGATTTAAAAGATTGACCTAATTACCTATATCCTACAGCCATAATATTCTTTTTAAACAACAGGATGCTTTGACCAATTTTCTCAACAGCATTGATTTATTCAACAAATACTGGCTGGGTGCCATGGCTCACATCTGTAATCCCAACACTCTGTGAAGCCAAGAATTCAAAAAATTAAAAAATTAGTTAGGCATGGTGGTGCACGCCTGTAGTCCCAGCTACTCAGGAAGCTGATGTGATGGGAGGATCACTTTAACCCCAGAGGTTGAGGTCGCAGTGATCAGTGATCATGCAACTGCACTCCCACAGCCTGGGTGACAAAGCGAGACCCTGTCTCAAAAAAAAAAAAAAAAAAAACAAATACCAGTGAATTACTCACTCTGTGTAAGGCAAACTAAGCACATACATTTTCCTTTGCTTTCTGACAAAATCCCACTGCAATGCATTCATTCATTCTGGAAGACAAAGCAGGTGGGATTATATTAAGGATTAGGCCAGTGCAGAGAAAATTGCAGTCCAGAACAAACATATATGCATGCATAAGAAGGCTATAGCAATGTAGAAGACAGTCTTGCCAGCAGAGCCTGGAGAGATACCAATATTAGACAAAGAAGCAGAGGAAGGATATAGGAGTAGAATCAGAATTATTATAATATTTACATGAAACAGCAAGCCAAACTTTTTACCATAGCTCTTTACACATAAAACACCTAGCAGCAACAGTATTTGTTTCTGGCTACAAACACATCTATTTTGCTATTGTTGCTGTTTTTAATTTAACAGTCTACTCTGGAAGCATTTGAACACCTTCATGGTCCATAACAAAACATTTGTTATTTGGGTAAAGGGTGGAAAGAGAGAAGGAAAGAGGTAATTTATTTCTTGCATTTCACTCAAGGACCCTACAGTGAGACCCAACAGCTAATATCCTACTCACTTAGAGCTCAATAATTTTTTTTTAAGGAAAACCACAACAGAAAAGGATGAAAATAAACAACTGGCCTGAAAGAAGTAGAGCTCATTCCAGGAATGGGAGAAAAATATTTAATAATTATAAGTGTTATCCTCAAAGAAATTCATGTCATGAGAACAATGCATTCATCAGAAACCAGTAACCAGAAACTATGGAAAAAAGCGCAACTGGAGGGACTGGATCCAAGATGGCCAAATTAGAACAGCTCTGGAGTGAAGTTCCCAGCAAGAACAATGCAGAGGGTGAGGGAACACTGCATTTCCAAACAAGTTATTACTACTCACAGACCAGGAGATTCCTGGGCTGAAAAGTGCCATGAGTTTCCAGCATGGCTGTTTCAGCCAGTGCAGCGGGTCCCCACACAAAAACTCACACAAATTTGGGCGGCCATTTCAACTGGCACCTGGAACATCTGGGAGACAGAGCCGCCCATTCACCTGAAAAAAAGGGGGCTGAAACAGGGAGCCAGGTGATCTGGCTCGGGGGTCCCACCCCCACAAAGACCACCAATATTAAATGCTCTGGATTGAGAGTTTCGCAGCAATTGCAGCTGGACCCAGGAGGGTCCAGCTCTGTTGGGGGAAAGGTGTCCGCCATTACTGAGGCAGTCCACCATTACCAAGGCAGTCCACCATCACCAAGGCAATCCGCCATTACTGAGGCAGTCCGCCATTACTGAGGCAGACCACCATTACCTAGGCAGTTCTGACTATACCTCTATAAACAAAACCGCAGCCGGGCATGGTGGCTCACGCCTGTAATACAAGCACTTTGGAGGCCAAGGCAGGCGGATCACCTGAGGTCGGGAGTTCAATACCAGCCTAACCAACATGGTGAAACCCTGTCTTAAAGAAAAAAAAAAAAAAAACCACAAGAATGATCACATAGCAGCTGGGCAGAGCCCATGGCAGCTCAGCAATGCCTCTGCTGGCAGACTGAGACTAGGCTCTCTCCTTGCTGGGCAGGGCAGCTCCGAAAAAAGGCAGCAGCATGGCGGGAACTTATAAATAAAGCCCCACCTTCCCAGGACAGAGCACCTGGGAAAAAAAGCAGTTATGGGTTCCGCTGCAACAGACTTAAACATACCTGCCCAGCAGCTCTGAACAAAACGGAGCTCACAGCTCAGCACCTGAGCTCCTATAAGGGACAGACTGTCTCCTCAAGCAGCTCCCTGACCACCATATATCCAGAGTGTCACCTCATAAAGGAGAGCTCAGGCTGACATCTGACAGGTATCCTTCTGGGACAAAGATAACAGAAGAAGAAACTGGCAGCAACCCAGCAGTCCTACAGCAGAGGGGCCTGACTGTTAGAAGGAAAACTAAAAAACAGAAAGAAATAACTTCATCATCAACAAAGAGGATGTCCACTCAGAGAACCCATCCAAAAGTCACCAACCACAAAGACCATGGGTAGATAAAGCCACCTAAGATGGGAAGAAGAAACCAGTGCAAAAAGGATGAAAACACCAAAAACCAGAATGCCTCTCCTCCTCCAAGGGATCAAAACTCATCACCAGCAAAGAAACAAAGCTGGATGGAGAATGAGTCTGATGACAGAAACTGGCTTCAGAAGGTGGGTAATAACAAACTTCTCTGAGCTAAAAGAACATGTTCTAACCCAATGCAAAGAAACTAAGAACCTTGAAAAAAGGTTTGACAAAATGCTAACGAAAATAAACAGCTTAAAGAAGAATATAAATGACTTAATGGAGCTTAAAAACACAACACAAAAACTTCGCAAAGCATACACAAGTTTCAAATAGCCAAATCAACCAAGCAGAAGAAAGGATATCAGAGATTGAAGATCAACTCCATGAAATAAAATGAGAAGGCAAGATTAGAGATAAAGAGTGAAAAGAAATGAACAAAGCCTCCAAGAAATATGGGGCTATGTGAAAAAACCTAATCTACGTTTGATAGGTGTAGCTGAAAGTGACAGAGAGAATGAATCCAAGCTGGAAAACACTCTTAGGATATTATCCAGGAGAACTTCCCTAACCTAGCAAGGCAGGCCAATATTCAAGTCCACGAAATACAGAGAACAACACAGAGATAATCATTAAGAAGAGCAACCCCAAGGCATATAATCATGAGATTCACCAGGGTTGAAATAAAGGAAAAAATGCTAAGGGCAGCCAGAGAGAAAGGTCGGGTTACTCACAAAGGGAAGCCCATCAGACTCACTGAGGATCTCTCAACAGAAACTCTACAAGCCAGAGAGAGTGAGGGCCAATAGTCAACATTCTTTTTTTTTTTTTTTTTTTGGAGACGGAGTTTCGCTCTTGTTACCCAGGCTGGAGTGCAATGGCGCGATCTCGGCTCACCGCAACCTCCGCCTCCTGGGTTCAAGCAATTCTCCTGCCTTAGCCTCCTGAGTAGCTGGGATTACAGGCACACGCCACCATGCCCAGCTAATTTTTTGTAGAGATGGGGTTTCACCATGTTGACCAGGATGGTCTCGATCTCTTGACCTCGTGATCCACCCGCCTCGGCCTCCCAAAGTGCTGGGATTACAAGCGTGAGCCACCGCGCCTGGCAACCAATAGTCAACATTCTTAAGGAAAAGAACTTTAAACCTAGAATTTCATATCCAGCCAAACTAAGCCTCGTAAGCGAAGGAAAAATAAAATCCTTTATCAACAAGCAATTGCTCAGAGATTTCACCACCACCAAGTCTGCCTTACAAGAGCTCCTGAAAGAAGCACTAAACATAGAAAGGAACAACCAGAACCAACCACTCCAAAAACGTACCAAATGGTAAAAAGCATCGACACGAGAAACTGCATCAACTAATGGGCAAAACAACCAGCTAGCATCAAAATGGCAGGATCAAATTCACACATAACAGTATTAACCTTTTTTTTTCTTTTCTAACAATATTAACCTTAAATGTAAATGGGCTAAATGCCCCAATTAAAAGATAACGACTGGCAAATTGGATAAAAAGTCAAAAGCCATTGGTGTGCTGTATCCAGGAAACCAATCTCACCTGCAAGGACACAATAGGCTCAAAATAAAGGGATAGAGGAAGATTTACCAAGCAAATGGGGAGCAAAAAAAAGCAGGAGTTGCAATCCTAGTCTCTGATAAAATAGACTTAAAATCAACAAAGATCAAAAGAGACAAAGAAGGGCATTACATAATGGTAAAAGGATCAATGCAACAAGAGCAGCTAACAATCCTAAATATATATGCACCCAGTACAGGAGCACCCAGGTACATAAAGCAAGTTCTTAACGACCTACAAAGAGACTTAGACTCCCACACAATAATAGTAGGAGACTTTAACACTCCACTGTCCATATAAGACAGATCGATGAGACAGAAAATTAACAAGGATATCCAGGACTTGAATTCAGATCTAAACCAAGCAAACCTAATACAGAACTCTCCACCCCAAATCCACAGAATATACATCTTCTTCTCAGCACCACATCACACCTACTCTAAAATTGACCACATAATTGGAAGTAAATCACTCCTCAGCAAACGCAAAAGAAATGAAATCATAACAAACAGTCTCTCAGACCACAGTGCAATTAAATTAGAACTCAGGATTAAGAAACTAGCTCAGAACTGCACAACTTCATGGAAACTGAACAACTGGCTCTTGAATGTTGACTGGATAAACAATGAAATGAAGGCAGAAATAAAGATGTTCTTTGTAACCAATGAGAACGAAGACACAATGTACCAGAATCTATGGGACACATTTAAAGCAGTGTCTAGAGGAAAATTTATAGCAATAAACGCCCACATGAGAAACAAGGCAAGATCTAAAATTGATATCCTATCAGCAAAATTGAAAGAGCTAGAGAAGCAAGATCAAAAAACCTCAAAAGCTAGCAGAAGACAAGAAATAACTAAGATCAGAGCAGAACTGAAAGATAGACACACAAAAAAACCCTTCAAAAAATCAATAAATCCAGGAGCTGGTTTTTTGAAAAGATCAACAAAATAGACAGATCACTAGCCAGATTAATAAAAAAGAAAAGAGAGAAAAATCAAACAGATACAATAAAAAACGATAAAGGGGATATCACCACTGATTCCACAGAAATATAAACTACCATCAGAGATTACTACAAACAACTCTATGCACACAAACCAGTAAACCTGCAAGAAATGGATAAATTCCTGGACACTTGCACCCTCCCAAGCCTAAACCAGGAAGAAGCTGAAACCCTGGATAGACCAATAACAAGGGCTGAAATTGAGGCAGCAGTTAATAGCCTAACAACCAAAAAAAGCCCAGGTCCAGATGGGCTCACAGCCAAATTCTACCAGACATACAAACAGGAGTTGGTACCACTCCTGAAACTATTCCAAACAATCCAAAAAAGAGAGAATCCTTCCCAAATCATTTTATGAGACCAACATCATCCTGATAACAAAACCCAGCAGAGACTCAACAAAAAAAGAAAACTTCAGGCCAATATCCATGATGAACATAGAAGCAAAAATCTTCAATAAAACACTGGCCAACCGATTGCAACAGCAAATCAAAAAGCTTATCCATCATGATCAAGTAGGCTTCATCTCGGGGATGCAAGGCTGGTTCAACATATAAGTCTATAAACGTAATCCACTACATAAACAGAACCAAAGACAAAAACCACACGATTATCTCAACTGATGCAGAGAAGGCCTTCGACAAAATTCAACAGCCCTTTATGCTAAAAACTCTCAATAAACTAGGTATCGATGGAACGTATCTCAAAATAATAAAAGCTATTTATGACAAACCCACGGCCAATATCATACTGAATGGGCAAAAACTGGAAGCATTCCCTTTGAAATCAGGCACTAGATGAGGATGCCCTCTCTCACCACTCCTATTCAATATAGTACTAGAAGTTCTAGCCAGAGCAATCAGGCAAGAAAAAGAAATAAAGGGTATTCAATTAGGGAAGGCTCAAGTCAAACTACCTTTATTTGCAGACGACATGATTGTATATTTAGAAGACGGCATCGTCTCGGCCCAAAATCTCCTGAAACTGACAAGCAACTTCACCAAAGTCTCAGGATACAAAATCAATGTGCAGAAATCACAAACATTTCTATACACCAATAAGACACTTAAAGAGAGCCAAATCAAGAGCAAACTACCACTCACAATTGCTACAAACAGAATAAAATACCTAAGAATACAACTAACAAAGGATGTAAAGGAAC